CAATGGGTGTTGATGATCATATTCCTGTAGCAGAGGACATTTGAGACATTGTGCCTTCAGCGCAGCAACAGATGAAATCACAAAGGATGTGTCACTGGAAACACCACCACCCAGTGGACATGTTGATGATAGGGGGAATCTTGTAGAACCGAACACAGCCCCACATGAAGATAGACCAGGATTAGATCAAGCACACCAGCGTCGTACACGAAGAGCACCATTGTATCTCAATGACTATGAGTGCAACACAGTTGAAACACATGCAGTTGGTCTTCCTCCGATGTTGGGTTAGGTATCAAATATCCCTTACATGACTTTCTTAGTTTATCTAAATTTGCTCCCTACCATTGTGCATTTGTAGCTGCTATTGAAGCAACAAGTGCCAAGGAAATGACTCCCTCACCACTAACCAATGAACTCAGCCCTCAACCCTCACCACACAGTAGCTATAACTCAGAAATGAGCTGCCTTTCTACCTCCTAAAGCTTGCTCACAATCCACACTAGTGTTTTGGTGGAGAAATCAAGAAGAAGGATGGCCTCTTGAAGGTTTTCTTGGAGGGGGAATGTGGAGACAAGGTAGAGCACTATCGCAGCTTCAAAAATTCACGTAGAGAGGTTAAAGTTTCAGACCTAGGTTAATGTGACATTTTAGTGTATATTTCATGAAATAAAGACCATTCTTTTAATAAAAATCAGTTCTTGTAATCTTTAAAAAATTTCTTCTCTACCAAATGCTCCTTTAGAAATTAATTTATCCAAACGATATTATTCGAGAGGTTTTTTAAAACTATTAGCTAACAATGTAAAACACTATAAGGTCCTATTTGGAGTCACTTCTAGGAGGAAAAATGAAGGAAATGAAGGGTTTTATTATATATTTCCATTGTTTATGAGTTTGAAAAATAGAGAAAGAGAATTGAGAATTTTTGTAAAATCCTTCAAAACCCTTCTCACCTTTAAAATCAAGGTTCCCCATATTTGGTGGATTTGAAAGGGAATATATTAAAAATTACTTATTTGCCCTTAGCATTAAAATGTGAAAATTATATAAATGTGAATCATTTTTTAAATGTGACATTACTAGAAAAGTCACTAATATTGACGAATTAACCAATGGAAAATATTTCATCGAAAATAGCGATGAAATTTTTGATGAAAATCATATTTCGTCGAAAATAAAGACGAAACAAGATTTGGTCATAATCACTAATGGAAATTTTTTATGGAAAAAAATTCCATCGAAATTTTTGACGGAATCTAAGTATCGTTGAAAGAGACGGAATAAGATTTGGTCATATTTACTGATAGAAATTTTTTATAGAATTATTTTGTCAAAACATTTTCGTCAAATTTTGTCGAAAAATATTTCCGTAGAAAATTTTAAGGGAATTATTTTTTTCGTTGATAATTTTTGACGGAATGTTTTTTCGTCGAAACTTTTGCTGTAATATTTTTCCATTGAAAATATTTAAGAAATCTTACTCGACATCGAAAACACCATTGGAAAAAAAAAATTCCATTGCTGTCGCGTAGGAAATTTTTTTTATATAAAATCGTTGAATTTGAATCTTATAAAATGAGTGGTGTATTTTAAAAAGAAAAATAACGAGATGTAGTGCCTGTTTGAATCCTCTTTTTTTAAGTTATAAGCTACTTATAAGTATAAGCTAGGCCAAACAAGTTTTGGGAAAAACTCTTATAATAAAAAGCTCTTTTTTTATAACGAAGAAAAAAGCTGAAAACTAAAAGCTCATAGGAGGAGCTTTTTTTTAAGCTCTTATCTGTTTTTCTTGAATTGTGTGTTTTTTTTTTAAATGAAGAGTGGCAAAGATAGAGAGAGATAATTTTCTTGAAATATGTGCTTTTACGTAATTTTTAAGCTAAATTATTATGTAATTTCCAAACAGCTTTTAGCTTCTTTATTTAAGCTCTTTTATTTATCTTTAAGTTATAAGTAACTTCTAACTTAAAATTAAGAAGATCCAAACAGGCTCTACAATCACTATTTGGAAAATCAACTAAATAAATTACAATAACTTCATAATTTATTTTATAAATGCACGTATTTTATCACAATCTTAATCATTCATTTTTAAAATCAACGATTATTTGTACAAATTAAAAAAAAATCAATGATCATAATTCTCACTTTAGAGAAAGTTTTGTACAACTTTCTAATTTTATTCATGATGCAATAGCTATAACCCAGATTATTTGTACTATATATAAGCTTCTATACGCGAGGGTTGCTGTTTTAAGAGTTTAATTTCGATTTGTTGTCATTGTACAACTTTTTTATATCATTTCGCGAGTATTTTTTTTAGCAAGGCATTTAGAGAGTTTAAATATACAGTGGTGTAGCATAATCCATATTATGTGGGACATGGCTACTGGCTATATTAGTGTTTAAAAACTTAGCTCGGCCATCGACCCGGCCGAGGTCAGGGGTCATAGGATCACGGGTTCAACCGGGGGATCACGGGGTCACTACGCTGATCCAGTTTTATATATTAAAAAAATATAAATATATACATTTTATATGAAAATATTAAAAAACAAACCACCAATCATCAAAGATTCAAAATATACTTAACATAATTCACCAATTACAACCACAAGTCAATATTACACAACCTAATTAATGTATCAAGATACCAAAGTACAAAATTTATATTCTAATGGGGTCACTACGCTGACCCGATTTTGCTTCTTACCTTTAAAGGAAAATTTAAAGGAAGGAAGAATGAGTTTTTGCTTTCCATTGACGACCGTAAGGATTTCACTTGAATGAGTAAAATTCTTACCTTTTCTAGAAGATTCACAGCAGCGAGATGAAGATTGAAGATATCTAGGACACTGGAAGAGAAGATAACGATTAGATTTAGGTTTGTAAGCATTTTTATTTTATTTTATTTTAATAAAATGATATTGTTTCAGGGAATTTTTAAAAAAAAAAAAAAACATGCAGTGACTCCCTTTGACCCCTCTGACCCGGGAGTCACTGAAACTCGGCCGGGTTTTGGGAGTCGGAGGGGTCGATATGCATATAGGGTCTAACTTGTGACTCTAACCCTCAGAGGGGAGGGATCAGGATTGACCCGGGTTAACCCGGGGTGGAGTGAAGTTTTAAAACACTGGGCTATATCATCTGTTTAAAGTATTTTTTTAGGTAAAAATAATGTATTTTTTTAGGTCAACATAAGCCGTAGTTTAGTCTAAGCTTCTTATTATTCGCGAAGTAAACAATACTATATAACTGGGAAAGGTATTACATGTACCCTAGTTGAAAAATTTGCAGAGTGTGAGGAAAATGTAATTTTAAAAGTAATAGCACTGCTTAATTAAGTAGTTGTTAAATATAAAGATGACTAATATTCATATCTCACTCTTTACTTTTTGTGTCTATATATTTCTTTATTAATAATAATTGTATCCCACTTATTTAATGCATGTGAAGAGAGAGATAAACACAAAAATTTTATATGACCAAGTTGTATAAGATTTTAACACGAGAGAATCCGCTTACAGAAATAAGAGAAAGAGAGCTAGAAATTGAAAGGTGCGAGGAAGTGGGAATGAGATTGGAATCAAATGTTTGCGTTCTCTATTATCATCCTTCAACAAAAAAATAAATTGGGCTTCTTCTTGAGCCACTCAAATGGGCTAAACATAAACAATCAACCTAAAGAGTAAAAATATCTTATGGTCCGATCAGAATTTTAAGTTTTTAACCCAGCCCAGTACATATTTCAACCCAATATATAATCAGAGAAATAATTGGGCTCGCTTTTGTTGGCATCCTCCATCTTCCCTTGTTCCATTTTCGAATTGTCAATCAGGGAAGAAACATTCAAAACTCCCTTCTGTTTCACGACAATTTTGAACGCTTATGCAGTCATGTAAACCATTCTTACATTCCTCAATGTCTACAATATTGGTGTAACAGAAATAATTATTAAGTGCAACAGCAAATTTACCGAAATAAATGACTATATTTTCCTCTACAAAAAAAAGACTATTCCTTTTGGAGCATTTTATTAAACAAAAGTTTTACTCCTACACTTGTTTTCTATTCCTTTACATTAAAAGCAAAAAAAGAGAGAGGGTAAAATAGTAAACAGAGTTTATCAATGAAACAACAAAATTGAAAGGAAAATGATAAATAGCAGGAATTAGTTGTGTATGAGGATGAATTGGTATAATCTAGAGAAAATATTTTTGAACAATTCAACTTTTAAAGTATGACCAATAAATAAATTTCAGAATTTTTCAATAGATTAGCTCCTTTAAAATAAAAATGTACATTTCAGAGAGAAAAAAGAGAGTTATTATTATCATTAATTAATAAATTAAATTTTCATAACTTCATAATTTATTATATATGTGTTTTCGTGTTTTTTGTTACAATTTTAATAAATAATTTTTCAATCAATAATTTAAACTCTAATATTTTTTCTTCTTAATTACACTCCGCGGAGCCAAATTCCTCTCGAATGCGCAATGACCTTCTTCGGTTATTTTGAAAAATATGAAAGCAACTTGCATAAGTACGTAGGGGAAAGAAAAAAGACAATATAATCTATTTGGGAGGGGAAAAAAATAAGTACATTGTACTAATGGGAGATGTAAATAATGACAACTTGACAAGCATGTCGATGTTTGATGGAAAAAGTTTTCAAGAAGAAATTATCTTTTCAACAAGTAAACAATGATAGAGGAAAGTTATACTTACAGCCCATTTACGTTTACAACCTTTTATAATCATATCTTAACCGTTGATTTTCATCAATTAATGGTTATCATTTATTTTGAATTAATAATTAATTAATAAATTTAATTTGAAAAAATAATAACTGTTGATTGGTGGAAATCCACTACAAGAAAAACGGCAGATAACGGCAGTGTTTTCACGTCGTTTGGATAAACCGCCCTTAACTCCATCAAATAGTTAAAGAATGGTTAAGTAACCCATATCACACACTATTCAGCCTTCATGATTTTCCCTCATTACTCTCTCTCTTCTCACCGATAATCTATACCACTTCACGCGGTAATCAGCCAATCCAACACCAGAGCCTTCATAATTTTCTTGGATCGAAGCATTTTTCGTTGAGGACTTCGCAATGTATGTTGCGAGCAGCGCAACGATGATGGGTTGTGATGGAAGCATTTGAAGAAGAATGTATAGCAACTTCAATAGGGGAGAAAAGGGGGTTTAGGGTTTGGAGATGTTTATGCGTGGAACTGAGGTATAAATCAGATTCAATAGTCTCTTCTAGGATGATTCTCTTTACAGCTCAAAATTTGCTTTATGTATATGTCCATTTATTTTTCAAATTTTGATTTCGATTGTTGCATTGTTCGTTTAAATTGTTTAATTCGTTATTTGTGAATTATGTGTAAGAAGCCATATACATCTATATGAGAGTACAATGTTGCTTTGGCATGCTTTGAATTTCATCTTTGTTTTCACGGTTTTCACCATTCTCGTTGTCGTTTGAGTGCCTTCAAATTGATTAGGAATCCAAGGTACGAGTTTCTTTTGGTTGTTAGGTAATTTCATTTTTTTTTTACTAATTTAGCTTCAAATGCCAATGTGGGTTTGAACTGATTAAGATCAACCAAGAGGACAGGGATTGCTTGTAGTACTACTTTTAGTTTGCTTCTATATTGGTTCCTGCTTCTTTTTTCTCCTTCACTGACATTAAGATGCTCAAATTGGAGTTTGATATGCTGAGGATTCTTTTGACTTAAATTGAAGTTTGCAAAAAAAAATTCAAAATTCATTGCATGGTGGTTATCTTTATGAACCAAGCCAATTAGCCTAGTCATGGACTTACATGCACCCAAACACATTGTTGAAAGAATAGTTGTCAAACATGTTAACCTTTGCTTTTTCATACTTTTCCCTTGACAATGTACACTTTTTAATCTAATTTTCCATTTTGAACAATTTCAGGTTCAGCCTTCCAAAGGCTGCACCTTGTTCCAGAGGCTGCATCTTTTACTGCCGTTCTCAAATTTACAGCCGAAGAATTCAAAGTGCCTCTTCAGACCAGCGCTATTATCACCAATGGTTTTTGCTTTTTTCATCCCTTTTTTCTTTTTATTAAATAAATTATTATTTGTTCTTTGGGATAGATTAAGCTTATTTTTTTTTCTTTTTTTTTCTTTTTTTTCTTTTTTCTTTTTACCTTTTTTCGTTTTTCGATTTTTGGATGTGATTATTGGAGGTTGATTTTGCAATTTTTAGGGATTATTCAGAGTACATTTAAATTTACTGAGAGTATATTGTGCCTTTTTTGGGGGGTGAGATTATGAAATTTGGGTAAATCTAATATTATGAGACTTTTTGGGTAAATGCTCTGTTCTGTTGTGGAAAGGTGCTTGATCGTTATTTCAGGACAAACCAAAACCATTCTCTCAACTCCCTTGGCCTCAAAAGAAATGAAAAATAAGAAAAAGAAGGTAAACTATATAGTAAAGGTGGAAAGAACATTGTGATTCATAGTTTCATCGAAGCTTTGTACAAGTTAAACCTCCAAGCATCCTGAATTCTCCTAGATATTTATTGACCACTTATTATAAGGTTGTATTCTTCACTCTTCAGGTTGTCTTGTTTGATTACCATGGTTCTAATGGTTTCTTTTCTTTAACATTACCGCCTGTAGATGCAGAACAACTAAATAAGTTAGGTGATGAAAATAAGGATCAAAATTATGTGCTATCCTTCCTACACCCAGCGATCTCATTGATACTGTGAGGACTCTACCCCAGATAACTCACTTTATCTTCCCATATTTTGTATGGTTACGTATTAAGTTTGCAATTCCTTATAAGAATAAGAAATCACTAGTTACTGATAAATGGGCATTCTTAATACTGCAATATGTATAATTAAATGTAGTATTTCTATGCTGTGACATGTGTAAACTATGTCGTTTGAGAACTATTACATTTGCACAAATTACATGAATGTATACTATTTGGTGTTTGAGGGACTATGTTTGTCATCTTTTGAGATGCACGAATTTTTGGTTGTCAATTGCAATCTTATCAAATATCTGCTTTTAATGAGGATGGAAGTTTCCGTCCCTGGTGAATTTCCATACAATCAAGGGACCTTTCACTAGTCACTAGCTGCTGATAAGGTCCTGGGTGAACACTTGTTATTTGTGATTAGTAAGTAGTTCATATTCAGTATCGAAGTGACTCATAATACACGTATTTACTTACAGATTTCACATGGTATTTATTTATATTGGTTCCAAATTTTGTATTTATTTGTCTTTTCAGATATACTTGAAGAGGTTGTTTATGTTCGTTTGCGTATGTTTTAATCATATAGAGTAACATCTGCTGCTTCTTCTTAGCATTGCCAGTTTTCACAGAATTAGACATGTTTTACTGCCTCTTTATCAAAATTCTTTCTAATAAGCAAGATAAAAAGGTCAACCTGATACTATAAAGCTCCCACTCTGCATAGGGTCCAGGGAAGTGTCAATAGTAGGTAGTCTTACCTTAAATTTACGAGACTGATTATGTGAATCAAACCTATGACCTCCAGGTCACAAGGCAATCACACTAGTCATTGTGCCAAGCTCCCCTTCTTTCTAATAAGCAAGATATATATATATATATATATATATATTGGTAAGGCGGTATATTTTTCTTTTATTGTATACTTCATAGTATTCCTGCTAACTTAATATTTTGTATATTCATGGCTGGAATAGGTACGGGAGCTTGTCCTTTCCCGTAATCTTAATCTCATCATTGAACCAGGGAGATCACTCATTGCAAACACTTGTTGCTTAGTTAACCTAATAGGTTAACTAAATAGGTTCATGTCTATGTAATCTGTCTAAACCAAATCCTTAAAATGAGACCTAGTTGTGCTACTCTGTAAAAAAAATTTCCAATCAAGGAAACGAGGGTGTTGGCAAGTAAATGAATCCAGATATAGAGACAAGTCCAACAAGTTTTTCTTTTCCTATCTGATACAACAGAGTACAGACTGTGTTCATTTTTGAGATTTTGATCTATGTGATAGGTTGTGGCTACACGAAATGGTGCCTGAAAACATGAAGAAACAACTTGCTTTGGCTTTGAGAAGCATCCAGTGGAGCTACGCAATCTTCTGGTCCAGTTCAGCTACCCAACCCGGGTGGGTACTAACTGTTTCATTCACAGATCTCTATTGTGAATTTTTTTTTATTGAGTTTGCACTTTCCCCTTCTTGAATATGTTGGTTTTCCAATACATGGAAAGACTTTATATTGGATGAGGCATATTATGATTTATTTTTCTCCTCTTGGTTAGTTTGACATCCAAGTGAAACTGTTTTATTGCTCCGACTAATGTGGATGATGGCTAAGTTTGATTCTGCAGTTTTGTTTTATACTAATGGAAGAGAATAATAAATCAACAATTCTAATCTAACCAACTAAATAGCTACTTGAAATTCTGACTTCACTATTAGATTTTCTGGTATTACTGGCTATAAAGTTGTTTGCTAAGAAACCATTATATTCAAAATTAATTTTTTGGCTGATAATTTTGAAGGGTTTTGAGCTGGGGGGAAGGTTATTACAATGGAGATATTTAGACTAGGAAAACAAGTCAAGGAGTAGAACTTAATTCTGATCAAATAGGCTTGCAGAGGAGTGAGCAACTGCGAGAGCTATTCAAGTCCCTCAAAACTGCAGAAACCAGCCCACAAACCAAAAGGCCTTCAGCGGCAGTCCCCTGAAGATCTTACAGATACTGAGTGGTATTATTTGGTTTGCATGTCCTTCGTATTCAACATTGGCCAAGGGTAAATAATTTCTCATTTTTTTTTTTTTATGTTTTGGATAATCAAATTGTCTTCCCTAAATGGGGGTTGCGAAATCTAAAGTGTGTGTTAGTCTTAGTTATCTTCAAATCTGTGTATGCTCGTAGGTTACTAGGAAGAGCTCTAGCAAATGGCCCACCCATTTGGCTCAACAATGCCAATTCCACTGATTGTAGAGTTTTTAGTCGCTCTCTGCTGGCAAAGGTAAGATTCTGTCTCTTGACTTTGCTTGTTCTTTCTTCTGCTTTTGATTAGAATGTCATTTTTTTATACTCTTTAACTAGGTCTATTATGTGAATATTTTTTGGGTTAAATTTAACTAGGTCTAAATAATAATGTATTGTTCATTATTATTATTATTATTATTATTATTATTATTATTATTATTATTTGGGTTAAATTTGTAAAGAAAAAAGATAGTGATGATAATTATGTGAATATTTCGACAAAGGACTATTAGATAAAGGATCTAAATTAAATAGAATAATTTGCATTCACTTAATAATGGGTGGGGTTTTATCTTACGGGATGTCCTTTATCAACGATTTTATATAAAAAAAACTTTCCAATTGATATAGCATGCATTCTCTTGAAATATATGTGCAATGGTGCTGTCATTTCAATGATATCGAAGTTTGCAAAAACGATGATTTAAATGTGTGTATGTATAACTGACATGGGAATGTTGTGTGATAAGTTGCCTACTTTCCCTTGCTATTTCCATGGATACTGTAGGTAATTGGACTGGACCAAACCATTTTTTTTCTCATTGTGTTTGTTGTATTCACATTAACAATCCAATACAGACCCATATGTTCTCCTCTAAAGGGAACACAACCTCTATACAAGATGATTAATTATTTAGGTATAAATATTACTCAAATTATTTAAGGAAAATTAAATTAACATCTTATAATTTCTTATATTTATTTTTTAATTGACAATTTAATTTTGATTTAATGATAATAAAAATAATTTGGATACCAAAAAAAAAATTCTAAAAGATTATAAGGAAAAAAATTTCCTAAGTATAATCTCCCTGAATATTATACATTATTTAAAATATTCTTCACAATATTAATTTTTTTTTTGATAAATAATCACATATCGTGTATTTAAATTAATAATTATAATAAAATTATATAGATAAAATATTTAAAAATAATTAATTATTCAATACATGTTTACACTAATAGCTTTAATAAAAATATTTAAAAATAGGTTTGAGATAATTTTTTCTTTAACCCTACTGAACCTTCTTATGGTGACTCGTTGCTAGTTTGGATGTTCTGTCTAGTGTTTTCTCTATTAGCACTCTTTTCATGCTCACTGGTTTTATTAGTCGCCAAATCATAGAACACATGTTGTCCATGTGTCATTTGAATTGCCCACCTCATCTAGCGCATGCCACACATGTGGCTAGGCCTTGTCAATTCAATTGGATGCATGGCAAACAAGTGGCAACCAAGCTCTCCTTTTCCTTAATTGCATGTACGCCACATCCTTGACCAAGTTGACACATTGCATCCATTCATCCCTCGGCTGAACCCCCCTGCATTCTCTATTTGAACTAACTGAAGATAATTCCACCAAGTCACCATCTTCATCACCTTCTTTTCCCCTTTCAAATCGAAGCCATACCCTCTTCCATTCTTTATATTTCATCACTCATTTTCATCTTACAGACATGACAAATACACATTAGAAGAGAACCCCTCCAAAGCCTCCTTAATCGAGGAAGGAGTTTTCGATGTCTTCAGAAATTTTGTTTTCTTTTTAGTTGTGGGAAGCGAGATACTCCTCTTAGCATTTGAAGTACTGTCCGAAAAGAAAGGTAGTGCATGCAACCTTTAATTTGTAAGTAATAGTGAGAACTCCTCTTCTTATGGTGACTGAAGTGGCAGACTTAGCAAGGAAAGAGGAAACTAAACTTCCTTATTCTTTTGTATAGGATTTCGTTTGATAGAGGTATTAGGAATAAAATGTATAGAAATGTATAGAAATTCTGGTATGTTAAGAGGCTTGAGTAAGCTTATAAATATTTGAGACTGACTGGCAGAAGTGATGAGACTGTGAGTTAACAATTATGTCTTGCTATTTTATGGTGACTACATGTCTTTCTTGTAGGTTTCAATGATAGAATCCTATTTACGGGCTAATAGGATGTTTGTGGACTACAGTGAGGTATACTATGTATATATATTTTTGGAATAGTTATATCTGAACTGCCTGAAAAAACTTGGCTTGATTGAGATTTTTTTTTTTTTTTTTTGTGTAGCCTCAAATGGAGAGTTTACTCATCATATTTGGAGCTCAATCTTAACCTGTGTCTCAGGTCCAAAAAGGTAATTAGTCATCAAGTCTCGAGTAGTTCATCATTCAACGAGGACGTGAGTTTTTTTATGATAGGCTTTATATAGAAATAGCCTGACAGATTGGTTCATATAATGACAAACATTTTAAAAGGAACAATATTTAAAAATTGTGTCAATTGATTCAATTGATTAATTTTTTTACAATAAATACAATTATTGTGGAATCAAATTATAATACTTTCATGGGAGAGGGATCAGCTTTAGGAAGAACATAGAAGATTTTTTTTTTGTATAATATATTCCAATGGACATAAAACAGTAATTTCCTCAATGGCTATTTCTAAGTTTGTAACAGTATGCAGATTCTAGCAGAAGAAATTTGCTTGTTTTAGTTTGCAAGAAGTTCTTGAACTTGGCCATTTTTGACATCTTTCAAATTTAAATTCTTTGTGGGATAGATTCTGTTATCCTACGTTCAGCATTTGAAACCTTACTGATTTCCTGTTGGCATGCCGCGGTTATACTTATGCTATCCAAGTTGAAACCTTGAATGTAAGGAAGGTGAGACTTCTTGCATGCCTTGAGGTTCTAGGCATAGTTGATACTTATGCTATCTTCAAGCATTAAAATGGTCAATATGAGATTCTGTTGTTATACTTCCAGTGTCTAACGTTGTTGCTTAAGTGTGTCGTAGGAATTTCATCCAAAGATGGCATTGATGATCGATTGAAAGTGTGGGATGAGAAATACCAACCTTGGGTGCATGTCCCTGCATTTGCTCCATATTATTCTCCTCAAGCTGAAGTAAATTCACTTGCCTATATGATTGTATACTCAACATTTTCAGTTTCATATATAGAATTTTCAGTTAGGCTTAATATCTAAGATTACTCAGGTTTAAACATTTGTAGTATTATTGATATTTTGATTCCAATATTAAATTTCCAAAGCACATTTACATTGTTTTATCATGTATTTGGATCAACTAATTTTTAATTATGAGAAATTTTTAATTTGTTATCATTATTTGTATTTATTTCGGATTACATTTAATTTCGTATAAATTTAACGATAATAGATTCAGAGGTTTAAATGTTTGCTCAATTAATAATATATTTTTTGTAATGATATAAATAATTATAAAATAAAAGGTGAGGAAGTGAATATTCCAAAAAAAAAGTAGCAGCAGCAAATACAAAAAGAAGCGGCAAATACACAAAACAGAGGCAAATATCCAAAAAAAAACAGCATTGTAGAATCGCGGCGGTTCAAAACCGCCGCTAAAATATTACAATTTTATTTAATTGTTTTACTTTAACGGCGGTTATGCACATATAAGGTCGGTTTTGTTTTCATAGACGGTTATTCCGTCGGTCGTGAGAAACTGACTCCGAAATATTTAATGGCGCCAATTTCTACGTCAGTTTGAAAAGGGCCACAAAATTGTTTTGCGGCGGTTCAAACCGCCGCTAAGATTAAAAAGAACCGCCGCTAAAACCCGTTTTTGCTATAATGATCAACGGTATTAAAAAAATATAATTGTAAGAGGTTGTAAACAAAAATAAGTTGTAAGTATAACTTTCCTCGTAATTATATATTGTTTTGCCAAATTTTTGTTCTTAAATAAAATCAAGAAAAAATATTTTTATTTTTTTTCAACTTTATCCTTATCTTTTGGTATTTTTACTAATAATGAGAGAGAATTAATGAAAAGAGAGGATAATATAGTCAAATGATTTATATTTATCCAAAATTAAAAATTTTAAATACCTTTTTAAATTCTCTGTAGAACCTTAATCAACACAATTATTTTGAAATGGATCGAGAAAGAGATTGGTTAAAATTACGATACACTTTAAAATATATAAAAGGTTAATATCCCATTACTTTAAAAAAAAAATTCCATTTTGAAAGAGACTTATCATGCTTGACGAAGACTTCAAAAGTTGCACAACTTGCATCATTGAAAGGTGAAATCGTGGGATGTGTTATTTTCTTCCATGCTTTTTCTGATCTTTTTATTATGATATTATGCTGTTATCCATTGTTTGGTGAACTAATAAGATATATAAGTTGATTTTGTTGGTTTATTTTATTATGTCCACAATAAGATAAAGTATTCTAGGGGTCGAGACTCGGACAAGAACGGACATCATAGTATAACAAATGTCACATTCCTCTTTTATTCCAAATATAGCTCTATGCTCTTCTACTACAAATATTACTAGCACATGAGGGTAATTCCTTTCCACTGACCAGCAGTCACTGCCAGCCACCAGCCATCAATATAAGCTATCAGCCACCACTGTTGTTATCGACTACTACCATCCCCAACCACCTAGTACCACCACCACCATCGATCAGCCCCGACAATTGCCCTCTACTCACCATTGCCACCACCAACTAGCCACAACCTTTGGCTGTCGTCACCGCTAACCACCAAACACCAACCATCACCGCCACCGCTACCACCTATGCAGCCACCAATTAGCCACCACGCAGCGTCAGCATTGCCACCACCAGCACTTCCACGCCCTCATATGCCACCATCGCACCAACAACTACCACTGTCGTTGCTGTTGTCGTTGCCCTTGGTCAACGACACCCAACCACTAAGCACCAACCATCACCACCATCAATCAATCACCACAATTGTCACCTCTAAATACCAGCACTATTATCACCACCCATTGCCACTTGCCCCTACAACTAATACTACCTCCAATTCGATCAATCACCCATCGCACCAGCTGCCGCTAGCTGCCACCACTTACCACATGTTGGGTTTATGCTCTTTCACTTAAAGTCTAATTGGGCTCAATGTATGAGAAGAGTCCAAATAGCCTAGGGCTCAGTGATTGCACTATATAGTTATAATATTTATAAAGAGAGAGAAAAAAATCATCTATTACTCATAACACGTTGTTAAATTTTTGAAAATAAAAAAAATACATTATGTACTACGCTTAATACATAGTGTAACTGCATCAATCCTTAGGTACATTGCAAATTATTTTATATATATATATATATATATATAGGAGTACATAGTCTATTCCTGGAAATATATAGTGTAACTATCAATCCTTAGGTCAAATCACATGATATCCACTTAACCAATATATATGTGGAAGATTATATTTACAAACTACACTAAGTATGACCGGACATACTTAGCGTAATTTGTAAAAAAAATTTGTAAACGGATTCTTCCCATATATATATACGATAAAATCATTTCTACAGCCGCTTTACGTATAGCAATGACATGTGTATGATTATGATTCTCCACATTAATTGCTTTCATATTTTGTATGGTTATGATATTTCACATTTAATGTTTTCACGTATATATATGACAAGTATTTAACTGCTGCATATATATGGAGTTTATATGCAGCAGTTAAATACTTGCCATATATATACGTGAAAACATTAAATGTGAAATATCATAACCATACAATAGATGAAAGCAATTAATGTGATAACCATACACCTGTCATTGCTGTATGTAAAGTGGATGTAGAAATGATTTTATCATATATATTATTCTTTGTCTAGTCATGTCCTCATCCTCACCTCTACGTGGTTGTGTCATATTTACATAATTTTATATTTTTCTTCCTCTTATTTTTCATTTACGGATCATTAGAACGGGGTGAATATTGCAGGAAAACATAAGACAATTGTTAAGATGGTGTTTGGTTCAGGGATTTTAAAAAGTTAGCTATGCAAATGAAAGTGCCAAAGTTAGACACCCATGTTTGGTAGACTGATTCTTTCAATTTTCTTATCTATTATATTTGCATAGCCTTCTGCATTTGGTTGTAGAAAGCAAGCATTTGTCACTGTTAGGAAAGACAAGTTGGAGGTGGTTTTTTATACTTAGCCATCTAAACAAAGCTCATGGCAATCCAAATCAGACCATATTACCCTCGTGTAAAGCGCAAAGAAAGATTGAATCATTCAAAACTGCAGAAGCTGCAGCAAGAGCTTACGATGAAGCTGCATTGAGATTCAGAGGTAACAGAGCAAACTCAACTTCTCAGAAAACGATACTACAACAATGCGATCACCACCTGCTCACGATTTTCCTATCGCCATTTCCCAGAATACCAACCTCCATTTTCATGCCCAAGGCAACTGTAGATTCGTGATCTTCTCCCCTTTGCTTTGTATGGAAATATACAATTAAATATTTCAAATTAATAAAACAAATTCTCAAACTTTATACAAAGACATCCAAAAGGCTTTCATTCACTTTCTCTGTTTCTGAATTTATATTCATTTGATAAGAAGAAGAAAGCTTTACTTGTTTGCCCCAGGTGCCTTCTTCCTTAGGGTTAAAAACCTTCCAAAACCGTTGAACAAACCCAGAAAAGAAAAAAAAACAACAACAACAACCTCAACAACCCCATTGATTTTGTTCTTTTGGGTTTAGGAAGAGGAAAGAAAAGTTTAAACCTTTGAGTGGTGGGAAAAGGAAAAAAAAAAGATGAAGAGGGTGAAGATGGACCCGTTTGTGCTACCTAACAGGCTCACACTGCTTCAAATATTCATGGTGGTGATGCTTCTTTACATGCTCTTCATGAGTTTCGAAATCCCTCTTGCTTTCAGAGCTGGGTTTGGCTCTGTCTCTTCTGAAAGTGGTGGTGCTTTTGGGTTTCTCACCGGTTGTGGGTGTTCACAGAATGTTGAGGACCTCAAGCAGACGATGCATTAGGCCTGGTAATATTGCATTTATAAATTGTCACCAACTATGGACAAATTTGGATGACGGAAATTACCGTTAGAGGACAAATGACATACACTGTTTACTTGTATTAATAATGGGGTTATATTTGTAATTATATCTCTTTTACCCATTAATATTTTTTCCTCAACCAAACATAGGTTTCAAAAACTTCTATCGATTTGCCTGGTAATATTAGGCCCAACCAAACAACTTTTTTTTACATTTTCCTATCAAACTCACTTTCCAACTATTTCTCTATCATTTACATTTCTCTAGTATTCAAAAAATTTCTCCTCAACCAAACGCCCCCTAAGGAAAACCTTGAGAATGAAATATCATCATCACAATTTATTTATGAAATACCAAGTACATCAGGGTGTGGAGGCTTTAAATTTGTCTGGCTAGAGTCTGACTCTAGGTCAGCTATTGAAGTGATTAAGAAAGGTTGTCAGGAACTCTCAAACTTTCGCTAGTCTTTTTGTTAGGATCCAGGAACTCTGTAGCAGGATCTGGACAGTTAGAAAATTTCGATAAATTAAAAAAAATGCGGTTGCTAATTGGCTTGCTTCCCACCTGGTTGCTGATGACTGGAATTGTCCAAATTTTTTATCCCTCCCCTTGGATGTAGGCTTCTGTTTGAAATTTATCTTCTTCTTGCTTTTTTGGTTAAAGGTGTGTCCAAGAATAATTCATCTTTGCGTTTCTTTGTGGCATAAATTTTATTCTGACGCTCTGTTGCTGAATGGGACCATGAGCCTTAAATCATCGCTGTTATTCTCTTTTAATTCTTATCTTGTCTTGAATTCCCTGTTCGTCTATTTTGATGATAAGAAACAATTAGAAATAAAATAGGTCGTAGAGATAAACATAGTTAAAATATTAATGGCACAACATGCGTGGTAGGGGTGTTAACCGACCGAGCCGAGCCGAGCTTTGATCTTAACGGGCCAAGCCTGTATTTAAACGTGTCCGACTGGCCTTAGCCTGTTACATGTTACGAATATAATATTGGTCTGTGGCCTGGTTTATTTACAAAAAATAAAAACCTGTGTAAAGCCTGTCTTAGCCTGTTAGCATGTTAAAGAATAAAAATAAGAGAACATAATTTCACAAAAAATCAATTTCCAGATAGAAACCTTAGCTTCCAATTTGCAGCAATAATTTACAAAGTCTACAATAAAAAAAAAAAAATTAAAGTGAGAGAAGGTA